TCCCTCCCTCCCTTCCTTCCTTCCTTCCTTTCTTTTTTTATTTCTTTTGGTTTTTTTTTTCTTTGAGACAGGGTTTCTCTGTGTAGCTTTGGCGCCTTTCCTGGATCTCGTTCTCTAGACCAGGCTTGCCTCGAACTCACAAAGATCCACCTGCCTCTACCTCTGCCTCCTGAGTACTGGGATTACAGGCCTCTACTCCTTTATTGGGAGGCATAGCAGCCATAAGGGGCAGGAGTATTGCTATAATTATTCCAGCTATTTGCAAGCTCTTAGTGGAAAAGCGGCTTCAGAGCTGCATAGAATTAAGCTCTGTACCCTTCCCGCCAGAGGCTGGTAGTCAGAGACAGGAAGTCCTTCTTGCTAGCTGTCAATCTAAGACACAGTCTCAAAGATGGGTAAGGCTAGTGAAGACGACAACCTAAGACAGGCACAGTCCATCTGAGGGGTCTGGGAAGCCCTTATATTATTAAGAAGGGGGACCTGTGGAGCCTACAGAGGCTTCCTAGTGAGTACTTACTCAGGGTCAGAGAATCTGAGTTTGCTTTACCCAGCAGGGATACATAAGGAGATGATTTGGCCATGGGTATGTTTACCAGGTGTTTGGAAGGGTCTACACTCGGCTGTACGGTGTGGTTTGATCTTGCAAGGGGGAGATCTTTTGCCCCTCCCCTAGGCATATTTTGAGCCGGGCTGTGGTGGTACACGCCTTTAACCCCAGCACCCAGGAGGCAGAGCCAGGCGGATCTCTGTGAGTTTGAGGCCTGCCTGGGCTACAGAGTGAGTTCCAGGAAAGGCTCCAAAGCTACACAGAGAAACCCTGTCTCAAAAAACCAAAAAAAAAAAAAAAAAAAAAAAAAAACCAAAAAAAAACAAAACAAAAACAAAAAACCAACCAACCAAACAAACAACAAAAAACACCCTTTTGAATAAAAGACGAGGCTGTTGGCTATTGACCCAGGCCCTCCCAAAGCTATCTTGTGTTTCTCTTTGTTCTTATCATCTAGATCTATCTTTCTGTCTGATATTCTCTTATTCCTCTCTCCTCCTCCTCAGAACCCTTGTAAAGGTGGGAGCTGGACTCTCACAGCAAGGAAAACACATGCCTAAACTTCATGAGCCAACAACCATTGTGATGGAGCCATTCCCCCAGGACAAGCCTCCCATCATTCTTACTTTCTTAACGCTACCTGTTCCATCCACTGGCCTCGAAGGAGCACATGGGCTTAGAACACCAGTAACCAGAGCAGAGCTCTGTGGAAGAGTACTTGCTGTGTGTGCTCCAGACTCTGGGTTCTGTGCTCAACATTGCAAACCGAGAAACAAAAAATCAAAAAAAAAAAAAACTTACAGCACCACCCTCCCACCCCCACCCCCACCCCCACCCCCACCCCTGCACAGCTTGCACCTGCAGGGTTTGGCCAGATGTTTAATGTGGGCAACTGGAAAGTCTTTAAAAGTAGCGGTTGAGTTCAGTAACATGACCGATCCCAGAGAAATGTGTTCTCCCAAGAGGGGCACACCTTTAATCCCAGCACTGGGGAGGCAGAGGCAGGTAGATCTCTCAGTTTGAGGCCAGCCTACTCTACAGAGCGAGTTCCAGGACAGCCAGAGCTACACAGAGAAACCTTATCTCAAAAAGCCAAAAATCAAAATAAAGAAGGGGGTAGGGTAGGCAAATGCCCTGGCATTTGGGTAACCTGATTCTGAGTCTTGGTAGAGGAACCTGTAGGCAAACCATTGACCTCTGTGACCTTGTTTCTCATTGTGTATGGGTGTACACTTTCCTTCACACTGGGGAGGTTGAGGAACAGTGACTTGTCACCATGTGAGGAGATCCAGCAGCTCCTGGGCTGGGATGCCGTCCGTAAGTGCTGTCTTCATCCTTTCTAAGGACTTCTTTCTCTTCCTTGTAGCTGTTAACACCAGCAAGTATGCTGAAAGTTATCGGATCCAGACCTATGCTGAGTATGTGGGAAGAAAGCGAGAAGACAAGCAGGTCAAGAGGAAGTGGACAGAAGACAGCTGGAAGGAGGTGGACAGAAAGCAGCCCAACATGCCAGGCCCCCGTTCCCACACCAACAGGTGAGCACCTGGCTGGGCTCAGGGCTCGAGCTGTCCCAGCAGTGGTTCTCTCGGTTCCTCCTTGATGACTTAGGAGGAAAATAGCTTTTCACATAATGTTGTAAGTAACTGATTACTGCTTAATTTTTTATTAGTTGTGTCTTCCTTTTCTTCTTGTTTTTTTTTTATTTTTTTAATTTTTATTTCTTTTTTCCTTCTCTTTCTCTCTCTTTCTTTCTTTCTTATTTGAAACAATCTTGGTTTCCCTTGAATTCACAGACCTCTTCGGTGCTATATTTTTTGCACTGGCTTATGAGTGTTCCAGTTCCTTACACTTGAGAGGTTATATAGACCCCAGATTTTTTTTCATTAACTCTCCAATAACACCATCAAGGCAAACAGATATATTCTATTTCCATTTTAGGAGTAAGGAATTGGAGGTTCAGGATCTGGCATGAAATACAGTGAGAGGCCAGGATCAGAGCTGCTCCTGGTGGCATCTGGCCTCTTCCTTTCCTGAAGTGCCAAGTACCTTCTGCCTCCTTCTAGATCCCAGGTAGATAGTGATACTGCTGCATGTGTGGCTCAGGCAGTAGAGCCTTGACCTAGAATGCCTAAGGCCCTGAGTTCATTCCCTAGCACTACAAAATAAATAGGTAGAGATATTCATAGAAAAATTTACCCTGTTTGGTTTATCTTTGAAAATGGAATCATGTAGTATTGTGCTTGCCTTTAATTTAGAAAAACAAAAGACAAACCTTATTTCTGTGATTTTCTCTTATGTATATTGAGTTTTTAAAAATGTATATTGTTGAATACTATTCTATCGCGTGACTGTACAGCATTTATTATTTTGGTTGACATTTGGATGGTTTCTAGTTTGGGGCTATTTGCTGTGAATATGTATGTGACAGCATGTTCTCATTCCTCTTGAGTAAATGCATAGGAGTGGGATTATGGAATAGAGGTGTGTGACAGTTATGTGTTTGTGAAGCTTTAAGCTTTGTAGAAACAAAAGCCGTCTCTAAAGTGACTATACCATTTTATAGTCCACCAGTAGGTGTAACTTCCAGTGCTTCACATACCTGCCAACATTTAATGCTGTCAGTTTGTGTTTTCGCTATTCTAGAGTATATGAATCAGCATCCTATCATGTTTCTAATTTTCATCTCTCTCAGGATTATGTCTTGTTTTTGCAGTAGTAGGAATCTAGTCAGCTCTGTGTTTGGCTGTACCTCCAGCCCTTGGCTACCTTCTTAATATACTTATTGGCTATTCAGGTATCCATCATGCCCCCTTGAAAATTGTGTTTGCTGTTTCTTTTTGTTGATTCCAAGTATTTTGGATCAGAAATGTGTGCTAAATACTTATATTTGAGGGTTGGTTTCCTTATTCATTTTTTTAGTGCTCTTTTTTCTTTTTGTCTTTTTGAGACAGGGTTTCTCTGTTGCCCTGGCTGTCCTGGAACTCACTCTGTAGAGCAGGCTGGCCTCAAACTGCGAGATCTGTCTGCCTCTGCCTCCCGAGTGTTGGGATTAAAAGTGCACCACCATAACCTGGCTATTTAATGATATCTGTTAATGAGCAGATATTTTTTAGTTTTGGTGATTATGGTAGTTTGAATGACAATGCTCCTCATAGGCTCTGCCATTTGAGTGCTTAGTACTCAGTTGATATTGCTGTCAGGGGAGGTTAGAAGATGTGGCCTTGCTGGAGGAAGTGTGACATTTTGGGAGGCTTTGTGGTGTCAAAGACTTGCACCCTTCCCAGTTTGCTCTCTGCTTCTTCTGAGCTTTAGGATGTGTGCTCTCGGCTTGCTACTCCAGCCACTATGCCTGCCTGCTGCCATGCTTCCCCATGTGTGAGCGCCCAGCAGTGTGAGTGTCTACCTCAGATCTAGAGGGAGGCAGAAGGTACTTGGCAGCTGGGACAAAGAAGATACCACCAGGAGCAGCTCTGATCCTGGCCTCTCAGTATTGCTGCCCAGCTCCTGAACCTCTTACTACTACAACGGTGGTCTACTCTGATTCCTCTGGACCCATAAATAAACAAACCCTTTTTTGTATCAGTTGTCTTGGTCCCAGTGTGTTATCACTGTGATGATCTGCTTATGGCTTTTTTTTTTCTGTTATAGTTAGTAGCGTTATGCCCAGATTGTGGGAACCCCCAAAAGACCACCATGGAGACTGAATCCCATATGTAAAAGCAAAGAGCCTTTATTTCATACTGGGAGCTTGGACTCTCTGATGCAGCAGTGAGAACAGAGAGCCCCGAGCCCAGGCAGGCTTTTATTATAGCAGAGGTTGGGGTAATGTGATTTCCAGGGTTCAGGACCCTGATTGGCTGACATTTGTCTAGGGATACAGGGAATGTTTGGAATGTCAGGTATTTCTCCTTAGATGCAGGCCCTCCCTACATGGCTTCTCCTTGACCCAGGAAGTAAGCCTGTCACAGAAGCTGTGTCTGGGCCTCTAAGCCTGTCATGGCAGTTGTGTGGTCAAGCTGTTTTTGCCCACCCACCCTCCATACACACACAGCAGATTTTTTTTTCCTTAAAAATGTTTGCTTACCCTAATAATTTTGTTCACATTTTGTTTGAGGGGGGTTAGTGTTTTTTGCTTTTCTACTTGGGTTGTAATCCATTTCAAATGAATTTTAATTATGTCATGAAATTTTGGTGTTCTGAAATGCCTTCCAAGAGCTCATATTTTGAAATTTTGTTCTCACTGTTATGAATTATTGTGCAGGGGAACTCCCGAGGGTATCCTGAGAGTTCAGGGAAACATGCTGGTCAGATGGATGCAGTGGTGGGCTGGGTGGTGGCAGCAGCAGCCATGGCAGCCAGTACTTCACAACCCAGATGCTGCATCCGTGTGGAGTTTATTATAATAGAGAGATGAAGGAAAGAGATGATAGGGGAGAGAGAGAGAGAACCTCGTGGGAGGAAAAGCTGGATAAAGAGAAAGAGGAAGGGGAGGATTTTTTCTTTAGAATGATTATTATAAAAAGAGGTGAATTATATGAGCAAGTGGGGAAACAAGGGCACTGAATTCCCCAGGCTACTTCAAGCTGACAAGGGGCAAAGTGGGGAGTCGGGAATCAGAAGTCATGCACGGCGCATCTCAGGAACGTTCCTTGAGGAGCTGAGGAGGCAGGTCTGAGGAGGCAGGTTGCAGCAGTGGTGTTCCAGGAGCTTGGGGGGAAATGGCACACCAAATCAGGGGCATGGAAGCCATGGCATCTGCTGTTTCTGTGGAGGTGAGGCAGGAACAGTGAATCTGCACAATATGCTTGAAAAATAGGTGGGGTCAACATGGGCTCTGGAGATTGTTAGTTTTCATCAGTCTTGACGCAGTAGCAAAACATTTTAGGATCTTGTAGGTATCTGTAAGACAGCTGGAATGGATTTACATCATGACAAAAGGGTTAAACATCCATTTAAGAACTCTTCAAAGCTACATTTATCAATATTAAAACTTTGAACCTTTGAAGTTATATCTGAAACTGGTCTATCCTGTACCGTGAAGTCTGTGAATGAGGCATAGCTGTCTGTAACCAGAGAGGATTGGGATTGGGGCTGTTAAACTGATACCCTAGTCATCAAACACCATCAGATCTGAGAAGGATAAATTTAAGAAGTGAGACAGCTTTCCAGCTACCTAGGCAGCAATCCCAAGTCTCTCTGTGGTCGTGGGGAACAGAAGCCCCAAAGGCAGCACTTATTCAATCGATAGGCCTAGAAGATCGGATAGGTTTTTTTTTCTGTGGAGTAGAAATTTGGGGAGACTGACCCACCTTGACTTTACAGCATGGGGCAATCGGTCCTCCATTTTTCCACTTATTCACAATCTGGACAGGATCTCAATTTTTTGCTGTGTGGCCAGCCTTGCCATAAGCTTCTGGGTGGCTCTGTCTTCTTAGAGGGGATACAGGATGCTACCAGGAGCTGATATGTATCTTTATCATAAAATTAAATGCCATATTCTCAGCTTTCTACAGATTTTTGAGGACTGGGGGAACAAAACCTGTTAGATGTATTTATAACTTTGAGAGCATATATATGACTTAAATCTGAATATATAGGTTTCCCAGTTAGTTACAGTTTAATGAAGTTAGCAAGGACAGGGAGGTTCACATTCTTAAGCCTGAATAGACTTTGAGTAAGGAGAGACTTCTTTAAGCTGTTGGCAGTGATATCTGAATTTATTACCATTTTTAAGGCCCTGTAACTGTCATTCTGAACTTTGGGGTACAGTCAGATTATAATCCTGAATGACTTACATAGAAATAATTATTTCTTAAGATGTCTTTTGAGAAGGAAAAGAAGAGTGACGGGGAAAGATCCCAAGGCCAAATGAAAACAGGAAAAAGGGGTTTGTGAGTCAGGTTTGCAGCTCAACTCTGAGAAAAGGAAAAGGACCCTCTTGGTGGACTCTATGCCAGGGTTTCCATCCCTAAGATAACCCTCCAGCCTGTCCTTGGAACAGGGAGCACAGGACAACATATTCTCTATAGTTGCTTCAAGCTGAAACAGGTCACAGATGGTCAGGACTCTGGCTAGTTAAAGGTAAGGAGGAAACCCAGTCATGTGGTCATCTGACCTGGCTATAGAGGCAGGGAGCAATTGCGTTTGACTGGGCTGGGGTCCACATCACACAGACAAGAATCTCTGCTGACATCCGTAGCAGGGAAAGTGCTGCAGGTTGTGGTCCACAACACATCACACAGACAAGAATCTCTGCTGACATCCGTAGCAGGGAAAGTGCTGCAGGTTGTGATCCACAACGGCTGCTTCAGTGTTTCTGCCAACCTGCTGAAAATAGACTAGAGATGGGAGTTAAAATGTATGAATTTATTTGGAGCCTTTTGGTCTTAATAATTGGGAAGAGCAGGAGTCCCAAGACAAAGAGAGAGAAAAAATACCATCCTTAAGAATAGACAAGTGAGGAAAAAAATAAAAGTTTTAGATAAATTAGTATTACCAATCAGTACTAAAATCCAAATCATGGGAAAAGCAGGTA